GTGTTTGAAGATGTGGTGTTTGTTTTGTTGTGGTACTCTCAGTTTGGTGCATTGTGTAATATATCACACATCTTTTATTCTTTTCGAAATAGTCAGATTGAACTCAACATATATTCACAGATCATAGCTTATTCCAAGTCTGGTTAAAGGAGGAGGGTTGCAGTAGATTGTCGAACTATGATAAAAGTCAAGCCTAAGTAATTTGGCTTATTTATGGGGAAAAAAAAATACTTGATTTGCACTTGAGGTAAAAAAGTTGATTGATTGATTGAAATTGTTCAGATCAAATGAACGAAGGGAAAAACATCTTGACAAAAAGGAGTTGTCAGCATGTTATCATTTGGTCAATGCTTCTTGTTAAATTCTTCTTTGGTTATTGTATGCAGATAATGTCTTTTACTGAATGGTTCTTGTTAGAGTTTTTCCTTTGTTTATTATGTTCAAAGCATATTAGTATTTTTTTGGATAATGAATTTATCGATGCATGAGAAGCAAGATACTTATGATTGTTTTAACTTTTTCTTTTTTAGGCATGGATTTTATTGCACCGTGTAAGTGCAAGGGTACATCAAAGTATGTTCACCGAGAATGCCTTGATCAATGGCGTGCTGTGAAGGTATATTTTCAGATCGTTTGTTCGTCAGAAGTTTTAGCCTAAACTTTGCCATAACTTAGGACTTGTTAGACATGTATTGATTCTGTAAAATAGTATGATTAGGAATCAAATTGTCTTCATTTGTTGTAAGTGATTACTCTGTCCTGAACTAGACCAAGTATTCAATTAGTTATTTGCATTTGCATCATTATAGGCAAAGGCCGGCTGGCGGATCACTTCTTACTAAAGACCCATAGATTTTATCATCAGATTGAATATATACATGTTCCCTAAAGTTTGTCTTTTTACAGGAAGGATTTGCATTTGCTCATTGTACGACTTGTGAGGCTCCCTTTTACTTGAGAGTTAACGATCTTCATAGAAAATGGCGAACCTTAAAATTTCGGTTCTTTGTGACCACAGACATTTTGGTCATCTTTCTCGCTGTTCAGCTTGTATGTGGTTGCCCTCTTTACAGCTTTTTTCTTCATTTCTATATATTTACTGAAGTAGTACTGGGACTATATCTTCAATTGATCACTAACCTTCTGTTTTGCAGGTTATAGCTTCACTGGGATATTTAGTATATGTGATTGATACACATCAGAAGTCATGGCTTCGTTTGCACTGGGGGTTTGGCAGCGAACTATGCTTCTATTACATATGCGGTAAAACATATTCATTCGCACTAGTTATCAACATTTGTTTATGTATGTATGTCAAACTGTTGTTTGTCTCCTTAATAGGAGTATTCCTTTTTCCAACTGGATGATCAATCCAGATAGATGCACAAAACAACCACGTCAGAGACAGCTGTTAGTGACTTGTTACCTACCCATATCATGTAACTTCGGTACCACTAGGCTCCAAAGACCTGATTTTCCCTGCTGGTTTTGGGATTCTATGTCTTATAAATTGCCTTGGTAAATGAGATTTGACCGAGAGTCTATCGGAAACAACCTCTCTATCTTTATAAAGTAGGAGTAAGGTTTGCGTACACACTACCTTCCCCAGACCCCATTTATGGGATTACACCGGGTTTGTTGTTGTTGTTGTTGTTGGTAAATGAGATTTGGTTGGGGAGTGATGGAAGAATATGAGATAAACAATATTTACTTGGATATTCCAAAGTTTTAAACCTCAGGGCTTTGGTTCAGCGGTAAGGAACGTAATACATAAAGTGTGGAACTCTGTCACTTAATAAAGCTTAGTATTTAACTGGGAGAATGGTAGAGGGGCGGGCTCACACTCCCCCCGAGTTTTGAACTTGTGAGTACAGTTGGGATTGGAGGAGCTAACTCAGGAATCTCTTGGTTATAAAAAAAACCCAACTGAAACAAACAGAAATGATAATAGAAAACAGTAGGAATAATCATGATGAAAGAGGCGAGGCGAGAGCACTTGATGCATAGATTTCTTAAGATGCATATACTGCATCATCCAAAATTCTGAGTTTACTATTTTCAGTACGTAGCGATTCTTAAATGATAAAAGAGTTAATTTTATTGCTGTTGGTTGGCTTTGTGCAGGGGCAGTGTTGTTTTTCGCGTTGATGGGCATATCTGGTTGTTTCTTAACTTGCTTTGATGAAAGTGTGCGTGATGATTTGGGTCAGCCCTGCCAGAATGCATTGTCTTGTTGCTCTTGCGATGGGTACAAATAATGTGTTTTATGTTCTTTTAACTTTCATTATTTTCTTCCGGATCAACAACAACAACCAGTAAAATCCCACAAGTGAGGTCTGGGAAGAGTAGTGTGTACGCAGACCTTACCCCTACGCCGGGGGTAGAGAGGCTGTTCCCGATAGACTATTTTCCTCCTGATCATAGTAACCTTGATACTGCACTGGGTACAAGTTGGTAACTGTTTGTTGACATCATAAACGAAATAAAACACTAAAGAATCTTTTGATTGACTGTCTTTGCATCTTTAGTTTTTTAGTGTCTTTTTGATCTTTTGCATTAACATCTCGTACTGTACTTGCTGGAGAATTGTTTTTCTTTCAGATCCTTTTCTTTTTCTTTTGAGGAAATGGAGTTCATTTGATACTGTTTCCTTTTTCCTATCATTGCAGAATGTGTGCAGATTGTCATACGCGTCGAACAGGTACAACTTATATCTGCATCAATTGTAACATATGCTCAGAGAATTGTTCGAACACGACATGTGAATGTTGCTCCGAGAATCATTCTTGCACAGAATGTGAATATGGGAATTGCTTTGGAGGTGAAGGTGAATCTGGGATACCGGTATTATTAATCATAGCTGTAATTGTGCTAGCAGTGTTTGCCATCTTTGGCATGTTTTACAGTGTTTTGGTTGCTACAATGGTTGGACAGAGAATTTGGCAGCGACGCTACCACATACTTGAGAAAAGAATACTGACAAAGGTAAGCCACATCCTTGTTTTTGTTTCTCTTTCAAAATGTTTGCGGTTGTTAAATATATGACTGTCCGTGCACAAAGGTAGCAGTTGATATAATCCATAGAGTGTCGCATAAGGACATGGGTGCTCGGTTAGTATCAGGTGGAAAACGTACAGATATTAGCATATCAGGAAGTACTATACTCTGATTTATGTTTTGCATCCGACTTTCTGACTACTATTGTGTACTAGCACTGCAAAATGTAAATTGCCAAACCCTTTTTTTCGCGGTTCCTATATTGATTGAAGGTATTCCGGTATTCTCTATAATTTCTATACACAATTAAGACACACATTGTTGGGTAATATTCCTTTCCATGCTAGTATTTTTGGCCATTCCCTCCCTATCATTGTTATCACCAAATGAGAACTTCAAATAGAACTTCATAAGCAGGGGTTGAATGTTTTACTTTTTGATACTTGCAGTTCTAGTTTCTTTTTCTGTGCTCATTCATCATAACTCTTACTGAGCTTATTTATTACTCCTATTTATTTATTATTTCTAACATAGCAACGATAAAGTTGTCTTTGTGTGACCTATAGGTCACGGGTTCGAGCCGTGGAATCAGCTACTGATGCTTGCATTAGAGTAGACTGCCTATGACACCCCTTAGGCTGCGGCCCTTCCCTGGTGCCCTTCGTGAATGGGGATGCTTCATGCACCTGGTTGCCCTTTTTTTCCGTACAAAGCTTATTAGGGTTCTATCTGATATGCTTTCTTGTGTAGGAATATGTTGTTGAGGATGTTGGCGAGGTGGCTAGTAATGATTCGTCACCGCCGCCATTGCCACAGGAGCATGTTCAGCACCTGGAATCACTTGGACTTCTATAAACTTGAAGGAGTTGACAAAGGAAAACAACAGAGGGATTACAGTCCATATTCACCAATACAAAAATTTCTTTGAACTCAATATTTTTTACTTATGTGCATAGTTTATAAATGATCACATGTAATTGTTGAAGAAATTGATCATTGATAAATTAAGTGAAGCAACATGATGCATCCCAACTATAGGTTGCTTCAAGAAAGTAAGAAAACTCTCTCATAATTCCTTTTGACTCAAAAAGTTTTGAGGTGCCTTTCCTACTAATGTTAACCTAATGGTTGCAAATGGGCGGGTTAGGTCAGATTTGGACGGGTTGAAAATGGGTTGAGCAAAAACGAGTTGGTCTCAATCCGCCCTAATTTCATGTCGGTCGAAAACCGGTTAGGTGTTAAATGGGCTGGTTGAATATGGGTTAACCCAGATTATATTAGTGTAATATTTTAACAAGTCCAATTTATAATTTTTCTTTTGCTCAGATTACTTAATGACATAAGCTTAACCGGAATAATATATACTCTTCATTGTTAAATTTATTCAAATTTGACTATCATATTATAAATTTAAATTACTCTTCCCATAAAATATGACAATTTTTATTTTAGGAAGATAATGCACTTCAAACAATATCACTAATAATATATGACTCTGCATTTTTCACTTCGTTCATATATTGTTTGCAATTCAATATAAAATTGAACAAATTCAAAATAATAATAAGGAAAAAACACAAATTCTTAATATACTCTTGAGTACCTTTTATCAAAAGTGATGTAGTACAAGTGAGAGAAAAAAAACATTCTATTTTTTAACATGTACTCTTCAAGAATAAATGGAAAACTATACAAATCTGCTTTTGCTTCTTAAACTATTCTTGATATTTAAGTATGCACCTAGAAAGAACAAGATATTTTCTGAAAAAAACACTAAATCTATATTATTATAAAAGCATGAATACAATATCGGTTTACCAAAATAACCTTATAATATTAAGCATAATAACTCACAATAAAAGGACATAATCGTAATCTAAACACTAGCCTTATAATCCTATTAGTTTTAGGACATATACCACACCTATAGGAGTCCTATTAATATACTTACTTTCGGGCATAGACATTTAATACTACATGTTAGCATGTAATACGTTAGCTTTTTATTTTTTTTAGTATTTTGGTTGACTAAATTGGAGTACTATTGGGTCTTAGCAAAGATTGTAACGTAAAATTTCCTATTAAAATGTTTTGGCGTCTTAGAAATTAGGTTTTGGCTCATCCAAAAAGGTCGTGATGCTTTTGATCAGTACCTTTTAATTTATTAGAAGGTGAAAAGGAAATCAACGATAATTAATCTTTGTCTTTATGAAAATGAAAGTTAATAAATTAATCTATCTATATCTATATTTATCTATCTATCTATATCTATCTATCTATATTTATTATAAAAGCATGAATATAATATCGATTTATAAAAATAACCTTATAATATTAAGCACAATAACAGGACATAATCGGAATTCTAGACATTAGCCTTATAATCCTATTAGTTTTAGGACATATACCACACGTTAGGAATTCTACATGATATCCTTAAGGAGTCCTATTAGTATAATTACTTTCGGCATAGACATATAATACTACATGTTAACATGTAAACTAATACCTTTAGGAACACGTTAGGTTTTCTTTTGGAATAATTACTTTCCGGGTAGAGACATATTTTTAGTCATGTAATCCTATTACTTTTAGGATATACTTTTAAAAAATTTCTATTACTAATTTAATTTGAAAACGTATTATAATATCCTATTACTAATTTAATTTGAAAACGTATTTTATTGTTCAAATCCATTTAGAAAAAGAATAACCTATATCTATCTATATCTATCTATATCTATATCTATATCTATATTATTATAAAAGCATGAATACAATATCGGTTTACCAAAATAGCCCTAAAATATAGCTAGAGTATTGGACATAATTGTAATATTTCCTTTTGTATCCGATTTGGTTTTTAATATAGTTTAGGCTTTTTTTTTCCAACAAAAATATATTAATGTAGCCCTTGTGTAGGAAGATTCATAGGATTCCAACTTACATTCCAAAACCTAATGATATACAAACCTATTCAAGTTTTATAAATATCTTTATGAATTCTATTGATAATTAACCACAAAGAAAATAACACTCTTGTGCATACTTCTATTCGAATTGAATTTATTATGTGCTATTGATCTTATTTTATGATTTGAAAGATAAAATATTTTAAGAAATAGTTCAATATTAGATAATATGGTAATTAGATAATATTAGATAAAAATGGTAATTAACATTAGATAATATTGAAATGTTTAGAACATCTAAAACTTTGAATTCAACTAATTAGTAATATTATATTTGTACCTTTAGGCCGCTAAACCTGTATTTTGGGAATTCCAACAACAAGCTCTAGACTTTGATAATAATCTATGTCTATATTATCTATCCATCTTTCTATCTTTCTATCTATCTATCTAATATATTTATATCCATATCTATCTATATCTATATTATTATAAAAGCACGAATAATTTAGGTTAAATGTTGAATGACTAAAATATTCTTGAAACATTGATCGACTTTTATAACCTTATTTATTTATATAATTTAAGAATATAATTATAAATTACCTGAGACTGATTTTTCTTTCCATTTAAGCTACGCATACATTAATGCTATATAGTTTACTTGGGTCAAATTCTAGACGCCTACTTTTTGGCCGATTTGGTTCTACATAGCTCACCTTTTTTTAAGCCTTTTCCTATTTTTACACCAATATTTTTCTTTATTTAATTTTCTCCCACAAATTTCAGTTTACTCACCACCAATGCTTTTTTTTGTAGCCTTTTCCTTTTTTGACAATCTATTATTCCTTATTTAATCTTCTCCGATAGAATTCAGCTTAATTGCATAAAATCATATAGGAAAAGAACAAGCCAATTATTCCTATAAAAGATGACATTACTTCACATTGTTCATTGTTCTCTAAAGATTTTGGTGTAGAACGAAGCAATTTTCTCCAAAGGTAATATTAATTCTCTCTATCGGTTTTGTTTTTCGTAATTGAGTAAGTTTCCGTTTTTGTAATTGAGTAATGCATGTCTATGAATTAGAGAGAAAAACAATGACACTTTAACTTTTATTTTTATTGTTTTTTGTGTCGTACTTCTTTGTTTTTCGGCGTAGTTTTTACTTTTACATATCAAAGTCTTTTACATTGACATAGTATTATATTTTAATTGTATATCTTTAGAGATTAATGGTTTGTGTTATTTCAACAAATGTTAGTGTAACAATATTAATTTTCATCTATTACATAATATTTTGCAGCTTTTACTTATATATTGCAGGTATTTCGCGCAGTGTAATGAAATCGGATTTGGAAAAAAAAATGTGTCATAATAAATAACCTTAAACTTTATGATGTTGAATGGGTAATTAAGGTATTGGTTATTCGAAGAGGACCAATAATAAAATATAAGAACGACAAAGGAGAAGGTTTGCGTTGGCATTTAACATTTGTTGACGAAGAGGTAGGCTTCTTTTGTATATTTATTTTAATATAATATATTGCTTATTTGTGTCATTTTTAATTGATCTAAAATAATTTTTATATTAATTTATAAGGGACAAAGATCGAGGCAGTACTGTTCAATAAAAATGTTGAAGACCATTACTTATTAAATTTTAACCAGCAAGCATGGAAGTTTGGAGAATAAGTTTTTTTTTCTTGGTCAACCATAACTCTTCATCCTATTATTTATTATGTGCTCTTGTTACTTTATCTTGATAAATCCTTTTTTTTACTATAACTCTGAATCCGTTAGTTATGTCCCCTTTATATATAAAATTTGCAGCCTATCGTCCATCAAATATTTGGGTTATAAACTCGAGAAATATTATAATACAACTTTATATTCATACTCACAATTATGTCATGCATAAAAACTGAATTACAAAAAAAGGTAACAAAATCTCTATAAAATTAATCAAACAAACAAAACTTGATTCGCTAACCACCACCAATATAGGACTATTATTGATTCATAAGGCTTTTTTCTTTTTTAAATTACTTTGGAACTTAATTATTTGTTGAGAAAAAGGGGAAAAAATGCTTTGTAGTATGACATTCCATAATTAGAAAATCATTTAGAAATATAGAGTGAAAGCAACAAATATCTAAGTAAATTTAATTTAATATTTTGTTTTTGAAGGTTCGAATAATATTTAATTCATTTAAATTTAATAGGTCTACATGCAAGTAAATTTTATCATTGTTATACAAAATTTAAATCAATTGACAAGGGATATACGTGCAACGCACGTACATAGATACTAGTAATACTTAAAATGTTTAAAAGAAAAAAAAAAGGGAAAAAATTACTAACATAGTCAACTACATTGAGAAGAAACATACGATAGAAGAGGAGTTGGATTACCATTGTAGCATTTTCGGTTTCAAAAATGATATCAGGTATTTGAGTGAGCAAAAATTGGAAGATAACTTATTAGGCTAACTCATGATTTACCCATGAATACCTATATTCCACGGGTTAAATATAGGTTGAAGCCCAAATTTTACCCAACATAAATATCACTCATCTATCCCACTAAAATATGAGCGGATTAGGTGGGTTGACAAATATAGACTTATTTTGCCAACACTATTATAGTTAACATAAAAACAACTGTAATATTTCGTATTGAGAGTCCACCCAAGGATAATTAGAGGGCTGCTCAAGTAGTAAGCACCCTCTAGCTCCAACACTAAAGTTGCGGGTTCGAGTCACCAACAGAGCAAAAGTGGGGAGCTCTTGGGATTTGGGAAGGTATAAAAAAACAAGAGTTCGCTCAAAGGAGAAATCCAGTCCAATCCAATCAAGAATTGGACCACTTTGTGGCCAATAACACTAGTTTGTCTAATCCTTCTTGAAACCGACTAATCATCAGGGGCGGAGGTAGAGTGCGGGACGCGGATTCGGCCGAACTCAGTAATTTTTATTCAAACAATATATTTGTATTAAAAAATTCATTGAATATGTATAACTTATTCATTTCGAACCCAATAACTTAAAAGGAACACATAAGGTTCAAATCCTTGCTCCACTTCTATAGGATAAATAAAATGCGTTATTTACTCATATTTTCTGATATAATTAACAAATTGTTAGAAAAGTAATATTTTGAGGAAAATGCTCCCAGACACGGTTCCCGA